GTTCGGTGCGACGTGTCACAATCTCGGCTGTGGAGCGGTGGTTGGGGGAGACACGGCGTGGTTTCTTCTGTTTGGCGGCACCGTCACGTCCGCCATCATGAAGCACAGAGAAGTGCAGCACCAGTTCTGCAGCAAAATTACAGGAGTTAGTACATTTTAATGTATTCCACATACAAAATCCTTACGTTACTTAATGCAAGGGCAATCGATGACAAATTGCTTACGTAAGGGAGCTTCTTGAACTAACCTAAAAGAAAAGAGCCTTGGGCAACTGATTACAACCTAGGATTCTGGCCATCGTATGGGTAACGAGTAGCTACACCCCATGCACTACAGCACACATAATAAATGTGCCATATAAGTGTACAGTACATACTACCACTCATGGTAATACGCAGCTGCCGTCGTCGGGTTGGGTGTGGCTTCAAACGGCCGTCCTGGGGGACTTTGCAGTATGGAAACTTCAACTAAATTGGGAGACTCCCTGACACCCCCAGCACCAGTAGGAGTGGTGGTAAGACCAGCAGCAGCAATGCCCGCACCAGCAGCAGCAGGAGGAGGAGGAACAGAGGCAGGAACGAATGACACGGGAAGCGGAGGCTGAGCCCTTTTTGGTGCGCCAGGCACAGCAGATGAGCGTGTGTGATGCATTGGGAATAACCCTGTAGTCTCCTCCTCATCCTCTTCATCAATATCGCTCAACACGTCACCTGCTTCTTCCCGAAACCTCCCAGAAAACTCCGACCGGTGCTGCTGCCCATGCCGCTTGTGCTCCCCTTTATCCTCATCCTCACTCCCCTCGTAGTGATAGCCGTCGTGAAATCTCGGCCGGCCGTCCGACTTTCCCCCGCCCATCTCAATGAACTTGGCCCGTTCTCCCTCCAAACGGACACGCTCTGCCTCTGCTTCAGGCTCGGCTGCAAGGAAGACGCTGCAGGCAGCAATGATGATGACTATGCCCATGCCTGCTACCACCACTGACATCCACAGAAACACACTTATGTCGGCGCCTGTGTCTGCGTTAGTGGGGGCTGCTTGGGGAGCAGGGTACACACGATACGGTGATTAGGAGAAGGGGGAGGAAGAGGGGTGAGGGGGAAACGGAGGGGTGAGGTGCGAGCAGCAGGCGTGAGGAACGGTTGGAATGGGTGTGGATAAGAAAAAGGTCTGTATATGTCCCCTACTTTAATCATAGCATTGGATTTCCTCTGTTTCATTCACTATGCTATGCACACCCCACGATGCACAATGCCACAGACACCATTGAACATGTGCATTGCTGCCTGTTACCACTCTTTGCAATGACAATGATGTAAAGACACAACTATCCTCCCCTCTGCCTCACTCACTCACATGCACACAGGCGCGCGAGCGCACGTGCTGCCACCCCCCCCCCCCCCCCCCCCCCCAACCCCTCCTCCCTCCCCCTACCCACCCACCCACCCACACACCTTCTGCCGCAGCATGTGCCACCCCCGTGTGGTTACAAGCGTAACACGCCAGGTTGGCATGGAAGCTACCCGGCTGCACAAACGTGAAGAGGCCGCGGCTGTCACGGTCGCTGAAGTTGCTGGAGCATACAGCCCACGTGCCAAAGCACCCGTCCTTGTACCACAACGCTTGCCTCTCGTACAGTGCACACGTGCGGCACTGCCCGTGGTCTAGCTGTGTCACTGGCTGGTGGGGAGAGTATCAGCAGGGGGGCGAGGGGGAGACAGCGGGGGGGTGTGGGGAGGGGTGAGGGGGGAGACGGGGTAATGGAGTTGAGCGGGACTGAAGCACTGGTCTTGGTGCCCAAGGCTCAAAAACACGCAGAGCATTGGTGAAGCAGTGCTGCAGGTACCTAGCGTGTGACTGGCTGAGGTGGGAAGCGTGAAAGAATGGAACGAGGTAGAGAAGATGTTAGATGTGAACAGGAGGCATGGGAGGAGGGAGGGAGGTATGGAAAAAAAAAAATCAGAAAAAGAACGAGGACTAGTAATGCTGTGGGGGAAGGGAGTTGGCGAGAAGGGACACTGAGGGTTAAAGGAGGTTTAGATATGGCAGTCCACCCCAACCGGTACTTCTGAAACAATGTGGTGGAATGCAATGCAACAAGCCAACGAGCTCACAGAGACACACCACATGGAATGATGGAATGCAACACCACACACACACACACACACACACACACACACACACACACCAAGGACTTCCTCCTATCCCTTACCTCCTTCTTCATTGTTTCCCTCACTTTTCTTGCTTCATTCACCTCTCTTCAACACTTTCCTTCCCATGGGCCACCTCACCCAGCCATACAGCAGGACCAATCAGGAATACAAAACGGAAACTCCCAAAGAAAAGCAAGTTCAGCAGCCGCACAGCAAACCCTCCTTCACTGCTCCCAGCTCGAACTTCCATTCTGTCACATCACATCCCCCCACGCATCGCACACATCAATCCCCGATGCATCCATCCAACACGCAACCACCCATCTCCCACCATCCATCCGTGCACCCACCAACCAGACAACCACCGTTCCGATCATCCATGAATCCAACCATGCATGCACGTGGCGACGCGCCCACCCACCTGCCATGACTCGTTGCCTTGGAAGGTGAACCACGTCAGCGTCGAGTTGACGGCGGGCAGGTACGTCCGATTCGCAGAGTCGCATTCGATGTAAACAGATGGCGTGCCGTACCAAGAGAACCGTTTGAAGAGCGTCACACTCTCAAGCGACACGTTATACGCTGTGCATTGGTTGGAATGAAGGGTAGGATAAAAAAAAAACTCAAAAAACAAAACAGAACCAAAATAAGATCAGGTTGTTGATGTGTGTTTCAGGACGCCTGTCCTCCTTCAGGACAAACATCAAGCATTTTCATTGAATTCATTTTATTTTCTGGATAAATTCGTATGAATTCTGATGTTATCAGAAACGATCCGCTTCAATTGTCGGCGAACGCAAGCTCCCCGCGGTACCTTGGCTGTGGGGGATCATGGCTGACAGCAGCACTGCAGCGGCGAAGACTAGGAATCGAGGGAAGGGCCTGTCGCTCATCCGGCCCTGCGACGTTCTCCCGCCTGCGACAAGAAAACGTCGCATCATCCTTGCGGACAAAGGTGCCGCGGGAATCAACACCTAACTACGTGACACCCCAAGTCGTTACTTGAGGCGAAATTCTTACTTGGAACAACAAAACTATATCCAAAAGGGCAATTGGTTTTTTACGACGAAACTTGCGGTGCGATGACTAAGAAGTGCCGTGGCCGGTGGCTGTTTCCAAGTACAACGTGATCGGAAGTAGATCGACCTCTCTATAACAAGGCTGTTAGAAGCTTGGGTGGAAGCGGCAAAACGAATACAACACTAACAACCGCGGATCCTGATTCTCTAGCCGCCGTTGCGTCAACGTCGTCTTTCAGGCTTAGCTGCTTGCTGCAGGTGAAACTACCACTTGTGTCGATCAACATCAAAGCAGATTCGTAAGTTGGTTGTGCAGAACTAGTTCCATGGCATGAGGGTCAACCAACGAGAACCAAACTTGGACGATAAAAAAGGAGCTGACAATTGTGAACACAGAGGGAAGGAGTGTTTTTACTTCGCAATTAATGACACGCAATTGTGTGCCAACATCATCTCCTTGTAGAGTGACCCGCGCGTGTGACGAATTCTGCCTGAAATTTCCTGACACGGCTTTCGGACTGGGCACGCCCCAAATTGAGCCTCCAATGACTTCTAGAAGCCAGGAGCAAGGGCAGATGATGGACCAATTGGTGGTGTGACGTGTCGTGCAGGTGATGGGTGAATTCGATGAACTTGGATGCAACTTCTGATGCTGTCGATGTGCAATAGCTGTATTGTATCTAGATCTCCACTACAAGCATTCCCAGCGAACAATTAAAACAACATACACTTAAACAGGAAAAACACCTTACAATAAAAATAGTATATAAAAAACATGAAAAATATTTCGATGTATAAATTTGATGTTAAACAGCACAATCCATATGGATAAGTTTAATATAATACATAAATTCGTATACAACAGTTTCTGCTCGTCTTCAACAAGTTTCGACAAAGTCAGAAGTTTGAGACCCTGTTTCAAATTGATGATTATTGATTAAGTTTGTTTTGAATTGGAGATTTATCATAACTTGGAGTATAATTAGGGGTTGGTACTATAGATAATACAATCTACAATCTTATAGAATTTGAAGCATAGCTCAAATGTCGCAAAGACCTTATAACTGTAAGTAGACACACCCTGACAGAGAGAGTTATGATTTCAGTTGCCTTTCATTCCAACCTTGCCTGGAAACCTGGCAGGAGATGAGTTGCGGACCCCCTTCCTTGTGACTTCAACCTTTGCCGTGCTGATTGTGACTGGCGAATTGGTGCGGACGTGGCGGTTGGAACTGTTCTCGCTCTCCTGCTCTATTGGACAATGCCAATGAGAAGACACCTTGCAACATCCTCTGCCACGTCGGTTGCGTGAAGCCCTCACATTTCGTGCCTCTGTGGGTCACACCAAAACATCTGGAATCCCGAAAAAAATCGCAACCACGATTCGTGAACGCGAAGTTGTTCGCAAGCCACGAATCAGTTCCGCGTTACCAGACTGTTTTGCCAGACCTTCACTCTGGTACACCTTCTCCCTTTTCGCTTTGTCTCCAAACCTCGTCACACAGCCCCTAACAAGGCTCTCCAAACCAACAGATGAACTTTTCAAGCTTCTCTCCGAACCTCATCCGTAGCTCCGTTTCCTGCCTCCCTTGTTCCCCTCCTCCACACACGTTGGGATTCTCGCTCACTGCGATCTTCCCAGCGGTGGCTGGCAGACCTTCCTTGGGACTCCCACTCTCCTGACCCACTCCTGTGTTTTATCTATCCATCCGAATTTGTAAAATAATTGAGCTTTGTGACTTCCCGATTGATTTGATCCAGCATTCGACGAGCTCCGTCCTTCCAGTCCCAAAGCAATTCAACTTGAGTTTGCCTTGCAACCCATTAAAGTATGGCGGCCCTCGCAAACGGCTCTAAGGTCCTTCCTGTCTTCGCGACAGGCAGCAAAGGTGCTCAGAATGGCAGCCGTGTTACCCTGAGGTCCAGGATGCTCTCAGGAACCCGAGCTTCGGTTTCTTCTCAGAGCACGTTCTTCAGCGGCCGCGGTACGTCAATCAAGATGCGTCTAGCTTTCTTTCGCCTTCCGCTGTTTGGCCGTTATTCGTCGTTTTCATCCCGAGTTCTCCCATGCTGTCAAACCACCAATGGCGGTCCTGAACGAAAGATGTATCTGCCCTAAGAATTCTCAGTCAAAGTAACGAGGTATAGCTCTGCAACGGGTAAAGAACAAACTTGTAACGGACGAAGCTGTGTCGCGTGTGGTTTTCTTGTGGAAATTGTGCAGATTCATGGCGGTTGCAGCAGGCTATCGGTGCCACTGGCAGCAAAGGAGGAGCCTTGGCGGCCGAAATGAATATCTTCGACCGTGTCTCTCGGATCGTCAAGGTACCTTCGTGACTACCTTCGTTTCTCAGTTGTCATCGGTTTCGTTGCTCCACTGCACTGACCAGTTCAAGCCTATACGTTCGTGAATTCTTACAGTTTTCACAACCTTCAACCAGCTCTGTTCTCTCGTCCGCTCTGTTCGTCTCCTCATTATTATCATCCTTCCCTCCTCCGCTTTCTCCCTCGTCCTCGTCCCCCATTTATCTGGCAGTCGTACACGAACGCGGCGTTGAGCTCGCTGGAGGACCCGGAGAAGATGCTGGACCAGACGGTCGAGGACATGCAGAACGACCTTATCAAGCTGCGACAAGCCACCGCACAGGTGATTCACTTCTCTCGCCTCACTTGTTCATATCTTCCCTTCAAAAGATGGGCTGAAGCTCATGGTGTTTGATGCTGCCACTTAAGAGACGCGCGTATTCTCCAAACCCTTCTTCACGTTTGCGGTATTTCTTTAACAAGCACATCGGTCTATTCACATGTGCACCCCTCTGGCCTGTGTGACCTCGGGCTCTGAGTGACAAGCTGTAAAGCCGTATTTCTTAGCTTTACATTCACCGACCTCGCTTTGCGCTGATCCGTGCTGACTCCGCCCTTGTTTACTGCGTGCGTTCTGACTGGATTGCTTGACAGGTGCTCGCCAGCACTAAGATGCTGGAGAACAAGTACAAGGCCGCGCAGCAGAGCTCTGACGACTGGTGCGTACGGTTACTCGCACCAGCCTTTGCGTGTGTGGTCGTTTATGTTGCCGAATCAGAGTGGCGTCAACACTGGAAGTGCTCATTTTACGTCTTTCGCGAGCATGTGCGTGCTCCCGCCTCCTCGTTCCCGTGCCGCTGCATTTGCTTCTTGTTTGCCCTACAATCCAGTGCTCATCGCATATCTCCGCCGTGCGCTCGCGCCCGCTTCCGCCCGTTCCTCCTCCCGTTCTCGTCCCTCCGTTCGTCCTCCCGCAGGTATGCGCGGGCGAAGCTGGCTCTGGCCAAAGGCGAGGAGGAGCTGGCGAAGGAGGCCCTCAAGCGGCGCAAGGAGTTCGAGGTAAAACGGCACAGGCTTTTAGGGAGCGGGTATGGTACGCGTTACTGTGGGGTTCGTGTGTCAGCTAAAGGTTTGAAGCAGTGCAGTGTGCGCCGTTTTTTTGTTTGTGTCTCTTTTTGTACTTGTATTATTTTTGCCACGTCTGAAATTTATCAGAAGTTCGGAATGTTCGAAGGCGTATAAATTTGTAATTCTCGTGCGTGCAGGAGAACGCGAGGAGCCTCGAGTCGCAGCTGGAGCAGCAGCAGTCGACAGCAGACAAGCTCATCGGCAACACTCGGGTGAGTTCCGTTCCGTGGCGTGGGCGGCCATTAAGCAACGCACGCGCTGTTGTTTGGTGTCGAATTCATCCATGCTTGTTTAGCAACGCAGGCCAGATTGTTGTGCCACTCGCCAAACACCATGCTGCTCCTGTCACCGTCAAACACCAAGTGTATTAATCTTCTCGCTTTTATGCATCGCTTTTCTCTTTTTCGTCTCGGGTTTTGGTTGAATGTATGGGCGCTTGTTCCCATGGTCTGTATGTGTGTGGGTATGTGTGCGGAGCAGCTGCTGGAGAGCAAGATTTCTGAGGCAAGGGCGAAGAAGGACACTCTCAAGGCCCGCGCTCAGTCCGCAAAGTAAGCCGTCCTTAGTGTTATGGCTTGCCAGCAACGTGCTGGGCCTTTCTCAAGGGTGATTCATTCTGATTTGTCTGCGAGCGCCCCCACCATCGCCGTCACCCGAACTGAGTGCAATGTCCCTCTCGATTTGGACCAGAGTTATCGTGCTCATGATTGAGCTGTGCGCTTGTGTGCACGTTTAGTTGTTCTGCGTCCTCCTCCACTTTTCCCCTCCTCCTCTCGCCTCTCACTCACCTCGCGTCCCGTCTCTCCGTTTTCTCTTTCTCTTTCTTTCGCGTATGGCCTACAGGACGCAGCAGAAGGTTAACGAGCTGGTGGGTGGCATCAGCACTAGCAGCTCTCTGGCTGCATTTGAGAAGATGGAGGAGAAAGGTGAGACGCAGGAGATGCGTGGGAGGGGTGGGATAGGAGAGAGGAAAGATGATGGAGGAAAGCACTTGACACGGACAATCTATAAGGAGGGAAGCTATGCACGTCGTGTGTTGAGAATGTGCGTTCGGTATGGGGGAGTAATGCTAGTGAAAGCGAGCGCGTATTCTGGCAATCGATCTGGCTCTGTGTGGAAAGTAATGCCTTAGACTGGCTTGCTTTACTCTCGCCAACTCTGACTACACCTTCCACTCTTACCAGAGTGTGATGCTTCTTCCATCACAGCACACTCCATTGCCCCTACTGTCTGCTAACTGACGTTCCCTATCACTCATCAGTATGCTTTGTTTTTTTTTTTGCACCCTTCCCGCCTTCCCCATCCCCCCATTCGCATGTAAATGTTATGAGCAGTGCTCGCTCTTGAGGCAGAGTCAGAGGCGGTGGGCCAGCTGACGTCAGATGATCTTTCCTCCAAGGTGGGTGACTGCATGCCTGCCTGCCTGTCTGCCAGCCTGTGTATGCGCCTGCATCTATGTCATGGAAGTTCTTGGGCTACTTCTATCATGCATTCATCCATACTTTCCCAACATTCCATCCCATATTGCAAGGTGCCTTGTGTGGTATGAGCATCCTCATACCCAACCCCATTCAGTGCAAACGTCATTGTGGTCTTCCCATCCACTCCTGCTCATCTCAATACATCCGTTCCCTCTCCCTGCCTGTGCACTGTTTGTGTGTGTAAATGTGTGTATGTCTGTGTGTGTGTGTGTGTGCAGTTCGCCCTGCTGGAGAAGGGCTCAGTGGATGATGATCTGGAGGCACTCAAGATGGACATGCTGCTGCCAGACAAGGTAGGATACCCACCCACCCACTCTACGCCCTCAGCTCTACCCACCCTATCTCACCCCTCCCCTCCCCCCTTGCCCAGCACGTTATCTGAAACTTTCTTTCCCGCCTGCATTCTCTCCTTCTGGATAAAGTTTGAACTGCTCTGTGCCACTCCGAACTGTACCCCCAACTGTTCCTTCCCTTTCCTCCGTCTGCTTCTGTGTCCCACAGAAATCCTCGTCGTCACTGCCAGCGGGACGGTCACAAAAGTCGCTCAAGGAGCTTGAGGTGGAAGCAGAGCTGAATGAGCTCAGGAGGCGGGCAAGGGAACTTTAAGTGGAGCTTGGGAAATGGTCCTGGGGGGGTGGTGGACCGCTTTTTGCCAGCTAGTGCCGCGATGCTGTGATGATGTGTGCCTTGTAGTTTGTTGGATTGGAACATGTGATGGTTATGTTATTTAGCAGGTGTGCTTTGTGTGGATGGTTTGTACACATGCATGTCCTATCTTACAGTTATGTAAGGGGTCCTCTTTAGTTTGTAGCTGAGTGAAGTTGACAACACTAAGTTTATTTTCCAATGTTGCAGCTGTCAAACATGGAAGAAGTCATTATCCGTGATACATACAACTTTTCCTGCTAGTTTGATTCAGTGGAAAAGATAAGCTGAAATTTTCATAACAGATTGCCTGGGGAATAGTAGTTCAAGTGTAAGAAAGCGCATTTCGTTACCACAAACAGATATATTTTTGTTAATACAGTTGCCATATTGCAGATTGCACTAAAGTGAGTGTATAGCTGCTGCACGTTCACAGCACACATTGTATTACACTTATTAAATATTATAATTTTTAAACACACATAGTGTTTTTCAAAATTGTGTATTGTGAAAGCGAAGCTGCTTGTATTGCACAATTGGCATCGTCGAAGCGCGCTAAACGCCCTTCTCCAACTACAAAAACCGTGGGTTGGAGCTCATTTCCTCCACCCACGTTTCTCTATTTTCAAACGGCTCACTCAACCTTCCCACCACCCACCCCAACGTAAACCGTTTTGCGCATGCCACTTGGATAGGGTATATCGTAGCTAGTGATATGAGCATGCACTAGCTTGTGTTCAATTGTGATGCAAATGTTGTACACAGCCATTTGTAATGAGAACGATGCCAATTGATAAGAATAAGAAAGCAAGCTTTCTCAATGAAAAACATATCCAACACTTTTGAGCTTTGTTCTACGTTGTCGCAAATTTCTGTGAGAATATTATGAATTTGTCGTTACAAATCAAATTTCGACTGCTCCAGCCATGTGCGCAGCATGGCAATCCAACATACTGGTGAATGAAGCAGAGCACTTACGTATTTATCATGTCATCCATAGCTTCAATACTCTATCCTTCCCTCCTGATGCCACCTTGGTGCCATCTGGGCTCCAATCAACTGCAAACACCTGTACAGCAGCAAGCCAATTACAGAAAGCAGATTAGACATGGTAGTAAAACAAGTCCACCCTGTTTCGCCACCTCCCCATCTTCTCTCACTCTTCAATGCCCCAAAACTGCTCCCGCACAATCCCATTTCACCCCAGCCCCATGAACAAAAGACAGCAAAGCAGAGTAGGGGAGAAACGCAGAGCAGAGCAGGGTGGAGGAGTAACGCAGAGCAGAGCAGGGTGGAGCAGAAAAAGCAGAGCAGAGCAGAGCAGGGTAGAGCAAAAGAGCACAAAATAAAAATATAGAGTGGCCATGTGTCTGCTTCTAATGGCTAGCACATTGCCACCCACCTCATCCGCATGCCCTGGTAGATCCTCCCTCACTTTGCGCGTTTGAAGGTCCCACACCTGCATTGCCATGACATGCCATGCCAATATTATCCCATGCCATACCATGCCATGCCATGCCATGCCGTGGCACAAGAACCACGAATTCGAGCCATACCGTAGCAGCCAGTGAGTATAGCACACACTCAGTGGTACCCGACTTGGAAGCTGCCTTGACAGTGGTTGATATCGGAGCAAGTCAATGCGTGGCAGCACAGGGCGGGTATGGCGGGCATCACATTCTATAGAAACTACAGAGGGTCATGAGGATACACCATGGCATGGGGTCACCATGTCATGGAGTCACCATGTCATGGGGTCACCATGTCATGGAGTCACCATGTCATGGGGTCACCATGTCATGGGGTCACCATGTCATGGGGTCACCATGTCATGGGGATCACCATGTTAGATGTGTGTGGATAAGCAGAAAGCACAGCATGCTTGTAACATCATTAGTGCGATGTCATAAGTGCGATGTCATTAGTGCGATAAGCAGTGCATCAGCACCACGCGTAGCAGCCCACATACCTGGAGTGAGTGTGCTGTCAGCTCTCAGCAGTCAGCATGCTTGTCTCATACCTTAAGAGTGCTGTCCTTGCTGGCGCTCACTAGAAGACGACTGTCCGCCGACCAGCTGCGGGAAGAATCGAGGAAGGAGGGGTGGAACGGGGAGAGAGTGGAGTCAGTGGAGAGTAATGGGTGGTGAAAAAGAAGAGCAAGAACGAGGTATGGTTCGCCACAAAGAGCTTATGGGGAAGAATTTTGAGGCGGCTAGAATATGGCAGGTTAAACATCAGGGTGAAAGCGAGCTGTGGTTTGTAGCGACTGGCGAAGCGCGGAGAGTACGAACGTTGGTCATTAATTTCCCCTTGTACATGTTCCACTTGCGTGCATCCCAAGGTTAGTTACAGACGATAGAGCCACCGTTACACCCTCACTCTCCATTACTCCCTCCCTCGCTCCTCACTCCTCACTCCCTCCCTCCTCACTCGCCCTCTCCCTCTCTCCGCCCATCTTCCCCTCCCCCCATCCCCCCCCCACCAGAGTCGTGTTTTCAGTCAACTCAAAACACTCCCTTCCCCGCTCGCCCTCTCTCTCTCTCCGCCCATCTCCCCCCCTTCACCCCCCCCCACCAGAGCTGGTAGATGGGGCTGACGTGCGCGCGGAAGGACGCAATGAAGCGCCCTGACAACCCGTCCCACACCTTCAAGGTACGCCAGGGGAACCCATCTCACTCCCTCCCTCTCTCACCTTCTCTCTCCCCTCACTCCCCCTCCTTCCCTCCGCTCTGCCCTCACTCCCCTCCTCACTCCCTCCCTCCCTCCCTCAGTCCTCTTCCTCTCTCCGCCCATCTGTTTCTGTCAGATGTCCCGCAGCGCACCAGAGCTGGTAGATGGGGCTGACGTGCGCGCGGAAGGACGCAATGAAGCGCCCTGACACCCCGTCCCACAACTTCACACTCTTGTCAAACGACCCGGACGCCAGCCAGCGACCATCAGGGGAGAAGCACACGTGGTTCACCAGCTGAAGGCGGGGGTGGGGGTGGGGGGGAAGGAGGCGGGGGGGGAGAAACAGACGTGATTCACCAGCTGGAGCCCGGGGGGATGCATGGGGAAGGAGGGGGGTAGGAGAGGATGTTGGAAGAATGAGGCGGGGGGAAAGAAGGAGGGGAGAAGCTGGGTGACTTCTAACGGAAGTGGTTGTCGGGGAAACGTTGTCAATAGGGACTGTTGGAGAAGAAGACATTTGAGGCGCCTCAAAAGTTGTCGGGGAAACTGTCAACAAGGACTATTGGAAAAAAAAGCATAAGTGGTTGACTAGCTGGATCAGAAGAGTGGGGTGGAAGAGGGAAGGAGAGAAGGAGAGGAGGAGGAAGGGGGAGGGGAAGATGCATCTAAATCTGATATGGAAGCCAATTTAGGGTCGGGGCAAAATCAAACACCAACCGTCAGGAAAGAATCGAGTGTTAGGTTCATTGTCCACCCACCCCCCCACCCACACAACCGCCCACCCACCCACCCACCCACCCACCCACTCAACCGCCCACCCAACCACCACCACACCTGCTGGTGACCTGTGAGCTTGGCTTTAAGAGCGGCAGCGAGTGGGGAGTTGGGCTGCATGGCAGCAGCGGGGTGCCAGAGCACCATGGTGAAATCGTCTGACCCCGACACCAGCCTCTCCCCACTCGCTCCCTTCACCGCCGCGTACCGCACTCGCGCCTTCTCCTGGTGTGGGGGCAATGGGGGGTGGGAGGGGAAGGACAAGAAGGGAGGATGGGAAGGGGGAGAGTGACCAAACATAAGCATAGGTGAGGAAAAGGTGCAAGGAGGGAAGGAGGGCTGCATGGTACGGAGGGAAGGAGTGCGGGGACGAATTGAGCAGAAAGAAGGAAATATGGGCAACGGATTCAGATGGACTCTCAACCCCCTTTCCCCCCACAGCCCCGCCCACGCACCACAGCCCTCCCCTGCGCCCACAGCCCCCCCCTGCGCCCACAGCCCCCCCCCGGCGCCCACAGCCCCACCTGTGCGTGCGCCTATGCCCACACCCCACCTTGCGTTCCTCGTCCGTTGCGGGGAGGCCGTTGACTCCCCCGTGGTCAAACGCGCCTGTTCTGAGCGCATAGTCCGTGCTCAGCGCTAGCGAGTTCACCCAGTGCCCGTGACCCTGGCACGGGGGGTGGTGTAGACACGTGAGGTTGGGATGGGGTGGGTCGGGGTGGGATGGGGTGGAATGGGGTGGAATGGGGTGGCATGGGCACGGCAGCACGCGTGAGTTCACCAAGTTCATGTGGCCCTACAGGGGGCGTGGACATGTGAATGGTGGTCAAACGAGCCTGTTCTGAGCGCATAGTCCGTGCTCAGCGCTAGCGAGTTCACCCAGTGCCCATGACCCTGGCAGGGTGGGGGGGGAGGGACATGTGAAGAGGGTGGTGGGATGGGGTGGATTGGGGTGGGATAAGGTGGGATTTGGGTGAGATTTGGGTGGGATGGGGACTAAAAGGATTCGCAGAACATGATGTTTGAGTGAGATTTGGGTGGGATTGATAGCCCAAAAGCCTCACTTCGTGGCATTGATAGCATGCCATAGGCATGGGATGGGATGATGGTGGGATGATCGCACACACACACACACCGTCCCTGCAAGGCAATATCCGTGTCTTTTGGCTCAATGCCTCGGGTCCGCAGCACACACACTGCTGCTTCCATTCCCACAGGCACCGCACGCACGCTCCCTGCCTACCTGCTCCCCCATGCACCCGTCAGCTTGCTTGCCGGGCCGGGCCTATTCTTGCCGCCTCGCAAAGCTGGCTTACCTTAAGCTGCTGCAGAGCAGCACCGTTGACAGCACTCCACATGCGCACTGTGCAGTCCCGAGACCTGTGGTCGAGGGCGGTGGGGGTGGGGGCAAGGGCGGTGGGGGAAAGGGGAAGTGGCGGCGGGCGCGGGAGGTGAGAAAGATAGCAAGGGTGCAGAGATGGGTGTGGCGGGAGGTGGGTGGGTGGGAGGAGAGCGAGGGTCAGGGAAACAGAGTGGTGGGAGGTGAAAGGCGAGCATGAAAGTAAGTTACAAACACAGGTGGAGAGGAGAACAAACGAAGTGTAAGCAATCCCGCCACGCCACCATCGCAGACACGCGACAACCAGAGCCATTTTGGCTCTCACCCCGAGTGGATCACCCTATCACCGCCCCCCAGAGCAAACTGGTCACAGCTAGTGCGTGCCCCGTGAGTATGAACAGCTTGGTGCGTCGCACAGGCTTCATCCCACACTTGCCACACTTGCCACACATGCCACACATGCCACACTTGCCACACGTGCGTGTTGCGACTCACTCACCCCGAGTAAATCACGCCATCGCCGCCCCAGCGCAAGCTAGTGACAGCCAGTGTGTGCCCCGTGAGTATGAAGAGCGTGGCACGCCGCACTGCGTCCCACACGCGCACGTCCCCGTCTCGGCTCGCACTCGCCAGGCGCCGGCACGGCAGCGCCACGTGCGCCGGCTCCCATGCTATGGCCGTTATCCACTTGCGGTGGCCCTGGTGTGGGGGGGAATGGGGGGAGGGGAAAGAAGAACAGGAAAGTGGGGGCGAGGCGGGTCAGGGATTAGGGATAAGTTGTGTGTGCCGGCTCCCATGCTATGGCCTTTATCCCGACACAGAGACACATCAACAAAAACACAAGCACAAGCAGTCACCCACAAACAGTCTCTCGCCCTCCCAACCCGCCCCCTCCCTCACCTTGAGAGCAACGGGGTCTTTCTCCCCAGCAGGCGACTCCCACAGCAGTACGTGGGCGTCCATGCCCCCTGTGGCCAGCCACTTGGCATCGGGCGACCATGCCAGCGACAGCACCCAGTTCTTGTGCCCCGCGCGCGTCTTGAGCGGCGTCTGCGTGTCCACGTCCCAGAACCGCACTGTTGTGTCGCCTGACCCGCTCGCCAGCTGCTTGCTGTCCGGTGAGAACGCCACTGCTAGCACCGCCTCTGTGTGGCCTGGAGGGTGGGGGGTTGTGGAGGGGAGTGGGGCGAGGGTGCATGCGTTGCCAGGGTAGCAATCCAGCTGCTTGTGTCCAACGCCACCGCTAGCACCACTTCTGTATGGGTGGGGGGTTGTTGACGGAATGGGCGAACAGGAAGGGACGGGTTGCAGCGGTGCGTTGCTGATTGATCGGTCCAGCTGCTCACTGTCGGGTGAGAACGCCACTGCTAGCACCGCCTCCGTGTGACGTGGAGGGGGCAGATGGGAAGGGGATTGTGGGGGGTTTGAGGAGGGGGTGGGAAGGGGATGCGGTGGGGGGGTGGGAGAGTGGGTGGAAGAGGGGGGAAGGACTGTGCTGGTGTTGCCGGTGCAGCAGTGCAACTGCCTGTGTGACCCGGCACCGGTCACCAGCATGTGGGCATGGAAACTCTAGCTAATTGCACGGACAGAGGAAAAAGGGGGGGTATATTGAAGGAGGGCCGGAATGGGGGCAAGGGAGTGTTAAAGGCGGGTGATGGGATGGGTCTCAGGTAACAAGGAGGGCTGACCTGGGATGGTGGCGGAGCAGCGAGTGACGGATCGGATTCGGAACACGGCCTGTGGCTGGTACACTATGGCCAGCACCTTCTCCACCGACACTGGGGGGCGGAGGCGGCGGGCGGGTGGTGGACGGCACCGCGCAGTGGGCAGGGGGCAGGGGGCAGTGGGCAGTGGGCAGTGGGCAGGGGGGCACGGGGGGAGGGGGGAGAGAAGGGGAAAAAGGAGGGAAGCATTGTGAGGGCCCAGAAATTGATTAACATTATGCACGGACACTGATGCGCGAGAGGTGAGAGGTAGGTGGCGTGACGTGGGGTGGGGTCGAACGGGGTGGGGCGAGAGGAGGGAAGAGAGAAAGAGGCAGGCACCATGGTTCCACGATTGTTGGGCAAGGGGAGAGAAGAGTGGGCAAATATAAAGGAGACGGTATCGGAGGAGTCTGCAGGATGGATGGACGCACACAGGTTGAAGCAATTTGCAGCTGGAACGAGCGTGTGCCAACAGACGATGAGGGCGGGGAGGGAAGGGCGGGGAGGGAAGGGCGGGGAGGAAAGGGCGGGGAGGGAAGGGCGGGGAGGGAAGGGCGGGGAGGCAAGGGCGGGGAGGCAAGGGCGGGGAGGCAAGGGCGGGGAGGCAAGGGCGGGGAGGAAAGGGCGGGGAGGCACCTTTGTGTTGTCTGAGGTGCTCCCCTAGGGGCTCTGAAACCTCCCTGTCGTCGATATAGAACGCGTATGGTAGCCTCTCCTCCTGATGCCGTGCTCGCAACACACACACACACACACACACACACACACACACACACACACACACACACACACACACACACACACACACACACACACACACAAATGCACATGCACATGCACATGCACAGGGAAACGGACTCGCACAAGTGCATGCATACACTCAGCACGGGCAAAGGGATGAAACACAACACGGGCATGAACGCCAACGCTTGTGCGCCCCAGTAGCAACCACCTGCAACAACATCCATGCCATGAGAGTGTAATCCCGCTAAAACCCCATCCCTCGCACCTGTACCTGAAACCCTGAACCTTCGACCTTGCAAGGGTTTAGCTTTTGGGCTAAGGAAAAAAGGTGCACTGCAGCCTCTCTCTCCGAGCGGGCCAGCTGTGAATCGGCAAGAATCGAGCGCAGAAATTGACACCAGCATCACGCGACCAACAGACGCACAGTTTCTCTGTAATAAACCCTGTACCTTTATAAAACCTCATACCTTCTCCCCGCAAATGGCGAGCCAATCCCCGAGCGAATACTCCCTCTAGACACGCACGGACTAACGCGGCAGTGCGACGAACGGAATGCGCGACGCGAGGGATCCGGAATGCGCGGAATCCTCCAATGCACCAGCACGTACATTGTTGAGGATAGCGTTAAGCAGCGCTGTCAATTCCCTAGGCCCCGCGTCTTGCGGAATGTCCACGGGGTTGCCGGCCAACTTGCCCTCTGCGTCAGCTAGCTGGCAAATTACACTATTACCCGCCATTTCCGCCATCACACCCGCTACCGCTTAGCTCTCAGGACTGAGCTGCCTCGGTAATCCCCAAGGTTTCGTGCCTGTGTACTGACCCAGCCCGTCCTAGACTGTCCTAGCCTGACGTAGCTACGCCTTGCCTTCTCGTCTGTTCTGTGGTCCACTTTATCCGTTACGTTTTGCGACAACTGTTCTAGAAGTTGGCTCTTCCAATCTCAATTCTTCGCCCTTTCCTCCTCCGTCGTCCTTGCGAGGCGGTGGGCAAGTATTGATTGCTCGCCAGAAGAGCTGCCTACTGTCGAGGGGTTTGCGCAGAGAAGTTACTCCACTATTTGCTGACTCGCTGTTCCGCAATTAACACTCAGTACTTGCTAACTACACATAATGCCTCTACATAAGCTGCTTAGAATCTTATATTCATGTACATATATTCGAAATACAAAATAAACCTAATCGGCTTACTGCTAAGCTATAGATTAGCCTATATTTATCACATGCACATACAATAACTATATATACAGCCCGCCACGAGTACTATTATACAATACACGTATCTGCATTTCCCCATAATCATGCCATCATGACCCTGCCAGGCAGGGCCTCAGATTCGTTTGGGGGTACACTGAGGCCTCAGGGCAGTTTTTAGGAAATCAGAATTTGCCCTGAATTGTCAGGGCTGCACAGGGTGAGGTATGCTGAAATGACAGTGCTACATTTGGCGATATACTGTAATCTTAGTGCTTCATTTCGTGATAGGTGAAGTGTGGTAGCGGGTAAAGCGGCAATGCGTGACGTCAAGGTCTGGTGCTCGATTCTCGCTGGCTCCTTTGTTCGAGTTCCTCGCACATAGATATTTTAGGCCCGAAACCCAGGAGATTTTACGTACAGTACATCTCGCTTCAGAGCGAGACTCGACACTATCCTGACTCATCAGGGCTGAACCTACAGCCTTATCCTGAGTTTCCAGTACGCAGAATAATGTTATACTGAAATTACAGGACAATTATTCTTGTTATGCTGTTTTTCCAGGACTAGCACACGACACCTATCCTGAATTCAGGAGAATCAGGATAAATTATCCTGATAACTGAGGCCCTGCCAGGATTGCCGTTCTCAGCCACCCATAACGAGATGCACTTACCGGTACGTATTTTACCACTCTAGTTATGTTAGCTTTCTCCATGCCATTCATGTGCCTGCCGCTCCATACGCATCATGCGGGTTGTACGGTAATGTGCACCAAACCAGGCCTCCCATGGCTTAATCCACCCAGACCACTGTTTGCATTCTTTCCTCTCTTCAATCCCTAAAGATGCCACGGAACCGCGCCTTTCCTCCCGGTTGGATGTACACCACTGCCACAGACGCACCCTTCTCCATGTTTCCACTGTTCTCCACTATCCTGAATCCCCGTGGCTTCTCCGACAAGACTAGTCCCCAGTAGCTGCACCAGTGAAGCACAAAAAGGCAGAGTGGGAGGCGACTGGTTGGACATGTGCTGTCTTGAGAAACGAGAAGCACTGACAGCTTGTGTCGTGTCAGGCTGACTCAAACATCACCTTCTTGTTGGAACTACGAGGCATAGGAAGGAAGTGCGCAACAAGGGTGAAGCAGGGGAACAGAGAGCGAGCGAGGCAGAAATATTACAAGTGAACCAGGAGGAAAGCGATCGCACAAAGAGGGCAAGAGAAAAGGAGGAGGTTTGTGCACTGTGCACCTGTGCGACCTACCTCGAGGCATGGAAGTTGCTGGCCCTGAGAGTGAGAGCGTTGAGTCGCCCTCCACTGACGTTGGTGATATTGGCCCTGTACCTCCCCACCTCCTGCCCACTCTTGTCCTTCCACACGCCTGTCTGCCTCGTCTGCACCACCAGACGCCGCACTCCCTTGCTGCTACCGCTGCCACTTCCCCCGCCTTTGCTGCCACCGGCGCTGCCTTTGCTGCCACCGGCGCTACCGTTGCTGCCACCGGCACTGCCCTTGCTGCCGCCGTTGTTATTGCCGCTGCTAGGCTTGCCTGCACGTGGTCGCAATGTTAGCACAACACAGTGGGATGGAGCAAGAGAGGGCGACATTGAGACTGTGACTACTGCGAATTCGGATCCGAATGAGAGTGCAGCACGAGAGTGCATGCTGTAGACACAAGACCTGCTGTATAGACCAACACCATGGCGCATGGTTTGGAGAAGAATGCAAACTATGGGAGCTGGGTGTAAATAGTGGCATGTCCTGCAGCGTGCTGATGAGGGAGGAGGAGGAGGAGGAGGAGGAGGAGGAGGAGGAGGAGGAGGAGGAGGAGGAGGAGGAGGAGGAGGAGGAGGAGGAGGAGGAGGAGGAGGGGGAGCAGGGGCACGAGCAAGATAAGGAGGGAGAAAGCAAATCGGCTCACCCCCAGTGTTCTTCGGTGGGCTCTTCCCTCCACCGCTCCCCCCTCCATTCTCTCCCTTGGGGCGCGGTCCCCTAGGAGCCGTGATGGGCCCGGGGTCAGCGTGAGTGATAGGGATCTTCTCTGTGCCGCCGGCGATGCGAGCCAGCACGCCCACGAGCGGCGCGTTCACGTATGTGCTGGGCTCGTTCTGCTGGTAGTTTCCACGGTCGTCTGTGAACGAGTCGGAGCCATCGGGGCCGCCGACTAGTGCGCCTGCCAGCACGTTCTGGTTGGGGTTCTGCGTAGAAGAGGGGGGGGGGGGGGGGGGGAGGGAGGGAGGAGACAGAGCGGGAAGAGGAAGGGCACGAGAGTTTAGCGAGAGATGCTCGTTCTGCTGGTGCGGTCGTCCGTGAACGAGTCTGATGCATCGAGGCCGCCCACTAGTGCGCCTGCCAGCACGTTCTGGTTGGGGTTCTGCGGAACGCAGGGGAAGAAAGGGAGTGGGAAGAGGAAGGGGCGAGGCAAGGGAAAAGGGAAAAGGTGATGCCCTCCCACAAGTCTTGCCCTCCCACAAGTCTTGCCCTCCCACAAGTCTTGCCCTCCCACAAGTCTTGCCCTCCCACAAGTCTTGCCCTCCCACAAGTCGTGCCCTCCCACAAGTCGTGCCCTTACCAGCAGGATCCATCCAGGGGAATGGGTGAAGTAACAGATAGGGAGGGAGGAGTAACGATCAATGAAATGGAAATGACCTCGTCTCTCTCTCTCCTGGGAAGTCTCATGAAGGGCTCACTGGGGTGTGGAAGAAGGAGAAGCCGTCCCCGCACGCAATGAACGCGGGGCTGCTCTTGATGGACGGCAGGGACGCCGCGCGGTGGTGCTGCCGCTTGGGGTAGAACGGCCCGTACCCCGCCATGTAGCTCATGCCCTTGGGGTTGCTGCCCAGGATGTAGTCCACCTGTTTCTGCGCCATGTTCCGAAGGTCGGTGGGCGTGAGCGTCTGGCCGGAGGCGCACTTGAAGGAGCCCACAGAGGCACGGTCGAGGTAGTCTGAATACACGGTGAGCAGCAGTGATGCTGATGTCACGTACTGCAGGTTGCTCCACGGCAGGAACACCAGCAGGCCACCTGGACGGGCGAGGGAGAGGTGGAGGGAGGAGATAGAAAGAAGAAAGAGGCGTGCAAAGGGTTGTGTGGGTGCAAGAGGAAGGGAGAGCAAAGGGAGAGGGAAAAAGGGGTGTATTGCAGGTTTTTCTACGGCGAGAGCGGCAGCAGCCCGCCTCACTACCTCCATCCCTCTCTCCCACCCTCCCACCCTTCCTTCCACCCTGCCTGCCTGCTTACTCGCCTGCGTGCGTGCGTGCGCGCAACGTACCGGGAGTCTTGGAGCCGGTGAGCACGTTGCACATGAACCGCTGCGCCTGATCCGCGTACGCCTGCATGCTGCTGTCTCCCGCCACCAGCGCCAACTGCTCGCACGCGCGGACAGGGGCGGGATACGAGTGGGGAAGGGGGTGTGGGAGAGTGGGAGAGTGGACAGGACGGCGGGAGAGGGGGAGAGGGGTGGAAGGATAATGGTGGTGAGATTGAGCATGGGGACAGGAGGAAACTCGCTGAGGCAAGAGGAAAGCTCTTGCCGGGACGGTTGTAGGATGTACGGGGCAGGAGGAGGTAGCAAGTTGTGCTTGTGGGAACTCTTAAAACGGACAACTAGGTGGAGGTTACATCTAAGTGGGAGGCGAGGAAGATAGGAAGACGATGGGGGGAGGGCATGATGGAGAGGGAGGCGGAGAGCGCGCACCTGCGAGAGCAGGACCTGCGCGCCGGCGAATTTGTCGTCCCAGGAGAACATCTTGGCGGTTGTAGCGGCGCCCTTGAGCGCGTCCTTGTTGGCTCGGATGTAGCCCAGGTACTGCTGGTCGGCTGTAGCGCGGTACAGCCACCCCGCCGCCCACAGCAGCTCGTCCTGCAAGTGGTGGGGGGGAGGTATGGGGAGGAGGGAAGAGATGGTAAAGGTGGGAACGGAGGAGTGACGGGGGCGGAGGGAGTGAGGAAGCGAGGAGAAGGGGGTGGGATGGGGGGCTCGGGAGGAGGAGATGGGGGGTGTGTGAGCGAGATAAAATGGAGAAAGGGATGGGAACCCAGGGTACAATGTATCGGAGGCGATGGTCTAGGGCGTCTGAGAAAAGGCTAGGGTGGGACGGACGTGCGTAAAAATCGAGAGGGACGGAGTGAGTGAGTGAGTGAGTGAGGGAGGGAGGGAGGGAGGGAGGGAGGGAGGGAGGGAGGGAGGGAGAGAGGGAGGGAGGCGTACGTTAAAGCCGGAGTAGGACTGGTAGTAGGTGGCGGCGGAGGGGATGCTCGCAGTGTACGTGCGCCGGTACTTGTCCGCGAACGAGAACAGCTGCACCACACACAGGCATTGCCATGAGACGAAACGAGGCGAGTTGAGTAGACACGAGGGGTGGAGGAGTAGCGAGAGGTAAGGGTGGCATTTGAGATGATTTCGAGGCTGGACGTCTGGAAAAAAAAAAACATTCTTAGGACTCTCTGATGGCAAATGCCCATCCAGAGGTGAGACGGAGTTAAAAGGTGTGAGCGAGGGATGAGGAAAGGGGGAGAGGGTGGGGGAAGGAGGGAGGAGTAATGGGAAGGGAAGTAATGTCAGGACGAGCAAACACAATCAATTCGATTAACCACTCCAACAATGCACTCGCCGCCTCGAGACGAATCACTCCAAAGACACACGCGCTCCCTCCCTCACCTCGCGCGCGTGTCGCAGCAGCGTAGTCGAGTAAGCATTGTCGCTCGCGACAAACGCGAGGCTCGCGGCGGCGAGGGCGGCGGCGGCTTCCGCGGCGACCTCCGTGCCGGGATTGGCGGCGTCCAGGCGGTACGCGGTGCGCGCCGTGGTCATGTCCTCGGGCCGCTGCCAGCACGCGTGGTCCGACACGCCGTCGCCCACCTGCGCGAGGGGGAGGGGGAACGGGGAAAAGGGGGAGCGGGAAGCGGAAGGGGGAAGGGGGACGGGATAGGGGAAAGTGGAAAGGAAGGAAGAAGGGGGAAGGGAAGGAGTGGGAATGAGCGAGAATGCCAACGACCCTCTGGTTTTGTCAGACAATCAGACGCAACAGAATGAGTGTGCGAAAATTCCGGCGATACTCCACCACTCCCCACGCCCTTACTCTCGCGAGATCCAGACTCCCCCTCTGCCCCTCCTTCTCCCCCTCCCCCAGCGTCGCATCCCTCTAACACCCCGCGCGTTCGAGTTCCCCAATCCCTCTTTCCCATCTCCCCGTTACCCTCCCTCTCCCCCTTCCCCCCCCTCCTCTGCGCGCACCTGCGCGTACAGCACGTTGGGCTCGGGGTGCGCGCTGACAAAGTAGTCCGCGCCCCAGCGGACGGCGTCGAGCGCGTACTGCAGCTGCCCCTGCGCCTCCAGCTGGCTACCGTACTCCACCACTCCCCACGCCAGCGTCGCGACCGTGAACGCCATGGGCAGCCCGTACTTGACGTTGTCGCCGCTGTCGTAGTAGCCCTTGGATAGGTCCACCTGAGGACGGTGGGGACGGTGGAGAGTGGGGGAGAGTGATTTCGGTGCCATTACCCTCTAGCACCCCTCGGGAAAGGTGGGGCGTTGGAGGGACACCGGTTCAAGTGAAGACAGATGGGAGTGTGAGAAAGAGAGCAAGAATGGAAAGACGAATGCTCACCCCTACTTTAGCACTCACCCCGACGTCCTTGCCGTCATTCAGCCCGGAATCCCCGCGCCACTTGGCTCGCTGATTGGCCGGCAGCTTTCCGGAGCGCTGCTGCTCGAAGAACAGAATACTCAAGGCGAGCGCGTCGCCGTAGTTGTGCCCGCCACCAGCTGCCGCCGCCATCAGCAGAGGCGGCGGCCGTAGATGCGCCGCGGGCAGCCACGGGAGTGAAATTTGCGTGCCTGAGACGAGCAGCAGCAGCAGCACGGCGAGCGCGGGTGCGGTGCGTGGGGTAGATCGAAGAGACGCTGGTCGAGACATCTTGGGGGGGGGGATAGGATCGGTCAGTTTATGGGTGCAGCAGAAGCTGCTGCGAGCAGTTGATGCTAGTGGCTGCGGCTCTTCTTGCAGAATCAAAGGATTGCAGAAATTTTCCTCGCGCGATTAGCGATTAATCGGTATTGACCTAGAATTCGCGGTTCGGAGACCAGTGCGCCCTGCCTTGGCTGCGTCTAGAAAACGGCTTGGTGATTTGCGAAATGGTTGAAATCACCGGAGGCATTAAGTAACAGAACCACCAGCGCTTCTTTACGAGTGCGAAAGATGCAAGTTGCGAGCTGTGAAGGTGTGTCACGAAACGACCGTTACGAGGAAGCACCTTCATGCGGACAGCACGCGGAGTTTCTACGAAGCTGTCTCGTGATAGCAGCAGCGTCGGTGACGACTAGCGAGCAGGCAGGCTCGAACACAGGGAGAGCGAATCGTGATGGCTATCTGTGCTACCGTGAGGTGAGGTCTGGTCGAGGCCGTTATCTCCGAAGATTACTCGCACAGAGCGACGGCGCTGCTGATGTGATGGGTGCACGTCCTTAGAATGATAGAGCCGCAGGTAGTATCGAGGAGCGAGTGACAAAATGCCTGCGCGCTATATACATGCGTCCGTACACGTGCCGGGAAGTACGCATCTGTGGAGGTCGAGTAGCGGGCGGGCAAGAAACGAATGATCTCCAGGAAAGCTACTAAGGGCCGTTTCCGACAACTGCCAGGCCTGCCTCTGCCCGAGGCTGATGCACGCGCGCTGCGGTGCCCTCGGGGTATTCGTGGCATGTGGGAGGTTGTGCGTGACTCTCACTCGCTCTCGCTCGCTCTCTCGCTCTCTCTAAATCACTCCTGCAAACACGCCTTCATCAGGCCAGGTGCGTTTCAGAGGCGACGCAGGTGAGTGGGCACGGGGGTTCTTGACCAGGCGTTGCGTCGGATGCATCATGTCAGCGCACAGCTGTAACAGGCTGCGAGCCTGTGTCGTGCTGCGAGTGATCTTCGCGCGCAGACAGTGCCGTCAGCGACAAGATGGGCTGGTGCCGTGATGTATAGCAGAAAGATAATGAGGCCACTCAATGTGCTCGTGTGGTGTTGCACGCAGTGCAACCACCTCTTCCGTGCACGAGAAGTGCTGAAAGGGGATGGATGGGTCGATAGTTGTGTTCGTCACTCATAGTTGTTCCCATTCCTCATCCTTGTCCCACTCTTTTCCCCCCCTCCCCACTTCCACTACACCCCAGCCCCTTCCACTGGGGAGGAAGTGCTTGGATATGAGACTGGCTGCATCACATCGGACCGCGTCACATCACATCGAAGCGCGAGAAAATGGCAGCAAAATCGGCAAACTTGCGCGACGTGACAGACCACAAACTTTTTTCATTCCTGACAACCAAGCTTGCATCGCAAATAGGGCGACCAGACCTCGTCCAAATGGATCTACCTACATGCGCTTCCACGTTATCTTTATGCTGCGGAAGTATACAATTTTTGCGTTACAGTTAGAGTCGCGAGATTACAGGCCGGGGTTTCATTTCTTTCATCAAAGACAACTTTTGCGACCTGTTACTTCACTTCAGTCTAGACGCGCCAACAAGGCTTGTCTTAACTATTTGTTTTCGACTTGTTTTTTAAACGGTGTAAACAAAACTAAAACCCCTAAGGAGCCAGGCACCGTTTTAAATGCATCAACCCTAAACACCTTGCCATTTCCCGTATTTAAGGGTTGATCCCTCTCGGATTGCACCACATTCGAGGCATCAACCCTAAACACCTTGTTATGCGTGTTCAGGGTTGATGCCCCCCGATTCTGTCACTGCCTTTAGGGGATTATTTTTTGGCAGCCCCAGCTTGGATTCAATGCTCCTTAAATGTTTCAGAAAATCTCGATGGACAAGTGGCGAAAACAATGCCACTAGAAACAGAAAACCATCAAGAAAATAACAATGTAGCAATAGTTACGACCTTACGCGACACAATTACATCGAGAGGGAACACCGACTCCAACCCGTAAAACAGGGCAGATACAATCGCAAAAGCTCATGTTAGTCGATTCATCTGCAGAGAGTTTGGTCGCCCTACCTGCGGTGCAAGCTTGGTCTAAAAGAATCAGAAAAGTTCGCGTTCTGTCGCGTAGCGCAATTCTTGCCAAATAAAATATGTCTGCAAGCGGAGCGAGAGGGCGCGAAACGAAAGGTGGTTACTGCCGACATTATCCAATCAATTCTTCGCGCTTCGTGCAGAACTCACCTGCAGCGCCGCGCTTTCCCTGAGGAGGGCAGTACGTATCAGCTGGGAAAGGTCTGCCTGATGGCACGGACACAGGCCCCTCTTCACTGGTCGGTTGTCATTTTGTCAGACTGACCCGACTGATGCCAAAATGCAAGTTCACCACACCACCATTCAGTAATCGAGACCCCTACACCCACCAATTCGTTCATAGTGCCTTCAATCTCGGAAAATCTTCGCTATAAGGGAGCATAACCATTTTGGTTTTTCTTGAAGTTACGATTAGAAACGAACGATCTATAAATGGACGGTTCCATTTCCGATATGAAACCGTCCGTTAATCGAAACAGAACTCGAATATTCGAGCCTTAGAGTTGAACTTTTCTCAAATATGGAATACTCGCAAAAATTAGAAAATTTACCCAATCAGGCGACATTCGTCATTTTCGTGCAGCTAGTTTGTCGGCTCGGATTCAAATTTCGAAACACAATCTACAGTCATTTTGGCAGTATGGATATGTCCATTTCGACACTTCCCGCAAAATCAGCGTATTTTCATTGGCCAACCACAAGTCGCCATATTTGGTCAGTTCGTTTCTGGCGAACCGTAACCGTGCGTTTGCCCGGTACCCACCATTTTGTGTTAAAATTTCAACACGGTCGTGTTGCGATGCTGATGTCATAGACTTGCGTGTGAAATACTATGCAAACTCACACGACAGCAGTAACTGTCATAATATTGAACGAGAATGATTGCATTGAGAAAAAAGTTGGTACAACTATTAATTCTAATTGGGTTGTTCCCCTTATGGGCTACCCCACTACAGCCTACACAATATAAACCTTATAACAGTTTGACACACCCCCACAAGCAAAATGGGGAAGAACAGGGGGTCACAAGACCAGTCAAGAAAAAACAAAGCAAGCTTAGGGTGGATCACAAAGTCACCACACACTATGTGTACAAGCAAATGGCCACAAGGCCAGTTCACATGCAGAATTATATAAACAAGAACAAACAATACAGTGATCATAACATACCAGGGGTAACAAGCAAAGTCACGCAGTAAGCAAGTGAGGCAAAGTAGGTACAAGGCCTAGAACAGTACAGAAACGCTGATGATCACCAGGCTAAAGTGCAAATATATCAGCAGTGTTGGCTCGAGTGGCCACGTAAGCAAGACGAAGCTGACCACGCTGCTGCAACTCTCGAGCAAGGAAGTAACGCAGAGCAATGTGCTTCGTTCTGTTCTCCCGTCTGTGCTCTTGACACAAGGCAATCATGGCCTTGTTGTCTACGTACAGAACTGGAGGAGAATGAGGCCACTCTCCCAAGTCGGTCAGCAGGTAGGTGAGCAAGCGTAACTCCTGAGCAGCCATGGCCCCTGTGTAGATCTCAGCCTCACAACTGGAGCTGAGAACAGAAGACGAGTGGGTAGACCGCCAAGAAACAGAGCCAAAGCCAAGGCTGAAGGTGTAACCCAGTGACGACCACTGCGTAGCCAAGTCGTCAACCCAAGACGCGTCCGCGTGTCCAGTGAGGACAACTGGACCCCGTCCTCCAAGCACGAGCCCCATGCCCGATGTACTGCATAAGTAGCGCAACACCCTCTTAGCCGCCTCCCAGTGCTCTGGTCGGTGTCTCCTGGGTGCAACGTGTTAGAATAAGTGACGAGGAATGGATGACTAGGAAGGAAGGAAGGGTACAAGTAGAATGTCGAGAGAAATTGTGTACCCCCTAAGGCTAAACCCACTACAGCCTAGAGAAATGTACACACTTATGTTTGACACACCCCCAAAGGCGAAGTGGGGGATAGCAAGAGCAAGCAATGGTCACAAGACCAGTCAAGAGAAGAAGCAAAGCAAAGCAAGCTCAGGGTGGATCACAAAGTCACCACACAGTCCGAGCACAAGCAAAGGGCCACAAGGCCAATTCACATGCAGAGTTATATAAAGAGAACAAACAATACAGTGATCATACCCTAGCAAGTGCAAGCATGCAGGTATATATATAGATCACAGTACAGGCAGAGTCAGGCAGTAAGCAAGTGAGGCAAAGTAGGCACAAGGCCTAACACAGTAACAAAGCGCTGATGATCACCAGGCGGAAGTGCCATGGTGAAGACATCAGCAGTGTTGGCCCGAGTGGCCACGTACGCAAGACAAAGCTGACAATGCTGCTGCAACTCTCGAGCAAGGAAGTATCGCAGAGCGATGTGCTTCGTTCTGTGCTCTAGTCAGTGCTCCTGACACAAGGCTACCATGGCCTTGTTGTCTACGTACAGGACTGGAGGCGAACGAGGCTGCTCTCCCAAGTCAGTCAGCAAGTAGGTGAGCCAGTGTAGCTCCTGAGCAGCCATGGCTCCGTCGTAGATCTCAGCCTCACAACTGGAGCTGAGAACTGAAGACGAGCGGGTAGACAGCCAAGAAACCGAGCCGGACCCAAGGCTGAAGGTGTAACCCTGTGACGACCTCTGGGTAGCTGAATCGTCAACCTAGGAAGCGTCTGCGTGACCAATAAGGACAAATGGACCCCGTCCTCCAAGCACAAGCCCCATGCCCGACGTACTGCACAGGTAACGCAGTACCCTCTTCGCAGCATCCCAGTGCACCTTTCGGTGCCTACTGGGAGCCACGTAGCGAGCCAGAAGGCTGAGAGGGTACGCGAGAGTAAAGACCCGTAATCGCCTCTGCGTAAGAGCGCGGGATCGGGATGTCTGGAGCATCCGGTTCTCCCTCAGGGGCAAGCAGCAAGGAAGCGAAACGAGGTACAG